CTGTTCATGGCACAAATGGATAAGATTACAAAAAAATTGAATAACAAAGAAGACGATGAGTTTTTTGGAGAATGGAATGACTTTAAAATTTATCTGGAAAAGAACTGGGATGTGAAACAAAACTTAATATGTTTAGATCAATATTAAGTCAAATGATGTTATCTTTAGATTGTAATGATGAGAAACTGATATTGTTGATGATATGAAGTAATTTGGAGCAGGGGTGGAAGCATTGTGGGAAGCCATTGGAGGGAGGGGAGGAACTGGGAATGGGGTAGACAATTGATAGAATGAAAAGTTTTATATGTTGTATTCCTGAGAAAATAAAATTTGTTTACCATAGTTGGCCATCCGACCACGCTTCTTTCATCATTTTTCACGCCCGATCTCCTGCGCTTGACCCAGTTAGCTTCACTTGTACCATTCAGTCTCTTGGCTGGAAGAACCACTGGAGCAAAGGGGTGCCTCGATTCTCTGGCATTCCGCCATCGAAGAGGCTACCCCCTCAGAGCTCCCTGGCCAGGGCCCCTTGGGGGGGGGTTACGAGCCTGCTTGCCCCCTCCTTCCGCCGGAGCACGGAGACACCCCCGGGAGGTGAGTCCGCAAGCATGCCGCCATCAACCGGAAGTCCGGGCATACACAGAGTATCATACGAAACCCTCATACGGCCACAAAACGCGGGTGGCCTAGCTCTCCCGGACCTGCAATTATACCATAATGCTGCAATCTTGTTAGGCCTACTAAAACTCTATAACTCTTCCTTTAACTCAGATTGGAAAGCCATAGAAGAAATTCACTTGAATGCTATTCCTCTCCAATCCCTACTATGGGAAACCAGTTCTAGTAGACCGTCTTCAATACTTCGAAACAACTTTCTCTCCACCTTAATGGCAATCTGGGATAAAAGAAAAAACATCTTAGCCCCATCTATCTCGCCCATGACAACTTTTACTAATGTCTCCTGGTTTACCCCAGGGCAAGCGCGCTCGACATTTACAACATGGAAAGAGAACTGTATCAACAGTCTTCACACAATCATCTCCAACAAAGATATCAAAAAGAAAGATCTTCTTGAAAGTGAACACAACTGCTCTTTACCGTGGTTCGAATACACTCAAGTTACTCACTTGATTGAGTCTATGAAGAAGCAATCAGATCTCAATAGACCACTTACCCCCTTTGAGCGGTTGCTAAAGCTTAACAAAAATTCGTTCAAAAGTTACATCTCATATATCTATGCAGACCTCCTTCACTCTCAATCTACTAAAACTTTAAGTTATCAAGAGGCCTGGCAAACAGATTGTGACACTACATTCCTACCTTCCGACTGGGAAGAAATCTGGTCATCCCCATCACTCAGGTCCCACTCATTAAATATTCAATTCCAAAGCTACAAAATCCTTACCAGATGGTATCTCACACCCATCCACTCCAGTCCGGCTTTCGCCCTGGCAACGGGATGGAGACGGTGCTGGTTGCCCTTACTGACGATCTCCGGAGGCATCTGGATCGAGGCGGTGTGGTGGCACTGTTGTTGTTAGATCTGTCAGCTGCGTTTGACGCGGTTGACCACCAGTTGCTGACCACCGCCTCGCTGACGTGGGGATACAGGGACTCACTCTTCAATGGCTTGCCTCTTTTCTCCAGGGTCGTGGACAGAGGACAGAGGAGCAGCAGTCCCGGAGGCACCCATTGGAATGTGGTGTGCCTCAGGGGGCGGTGCTCTCCCCGATGTTGTTCAACATCTACATGCGCCCCCTCGCCCAAATTGCCAGGAGGTATGGGCTGGGGTGTCATCAATATGCAGATGACACTCAGCTCTATCTGATGTTGGGTGGCCGGTCGGGCTCCGACCCAGAAGATCTGAACAGGGGATTACAGGCTGTGGCGGGGTGGCTCAGGCTGAGCCGGCTGAAACTAAACCCAGCGAAGACGGAGGTCCTGTGCCTGAGCCGGAATGGTTCGGGGTTGGGGCTCCCTCTCCCGTCCTTCGATGGGGTGCCTCTGGTGCCAGCATCAGAGGTTAGGAGTTTGGGAGTGCTCCTGGATCCCTCCTTAACTATGGAGGCCCAGGTGGCAGCCACTGCCAGATCTGCTTTTTACCATCTGAGGCAGATTCGGCAGTTGACCCCCTTCCTCGACCGCGATGACCTGGCTACAGTGATCCATGCGATGGTCACTTCAAGGCTAGACTACTGTAACGCTCTCTACATGGGGCTGCCTTTGTCACAGATCCGGAAGCTGCAGCTAGTGCAGAATGTGGTGGCCAGGCTGCTGATGGGTCTCCCCAAGTGGGAGCACATTCAGCCTGGGTTGAAAGCACTGCACTGGCTGCCAATAGCATACCGAATCCGCTTCAAAGTACTGGTACTCACCTTTAAAGCCCTACATGGCCAGGGTCCGACTTACCTGAGGGACTGCCTTTCCCCATATATACCCCCAAGAGCACTTCGGTCGGGGACCCAACACCCCCTGGTGATCCCAGGCCCCCGGGAGGTAAAGCTTGCTGCAACCAGGGCTAGATCCTTTTCAGTGGCGGCCCCTACCTGGTGGAACGAGCTCCCGAAGATCAGGGCTCTGCGGGACCTTATGCAGTTCCGCAGGGCCTGCAAGACGGAGCTCTTCCGCCAGGCTTTCACATAGGGGCTGCCACTGCCACCACCACCAATGGTGGTGATACAATCGGGATTAGGAATCGCACTTGGAAGTTCCGCCATAAATTGCATGGCACTGATAATGTGGGATTGGTTCGAACTATATGCTGGACAGTGCCACCCCAATGGGGAGGATTGAGGACGCCATCAAAACCACTCAAGACCGCCTTGTTTACAGAAAGCACTTTATTATTGTTATTGTTACTAGTATTCATGATTTTACTGTTTTTGTGTATGAACTCATGCCCCTTGTAAGCCGCCCTGAGCCCGCTCGCGGGGAGGGCGGGGTAAAAATGCCTAAATAAATAAATAAAATCTCCAATTCAAATTCCCCTCTATGCTGGAGATCTTGTGGGCAGCGGGGTACTTTTATGCACTGTTGGTGGTCAAGCGTTTTTGTACAACAATTTTGGTCCAAAGTAGTCTTATCTATCAAAGATATTACAGGTTATTTAATCCCTATGCAACCTGACCTTATTTTACTAGACTATTGGGCAGACTCTCATATACCCAAAATTAGGCAAGACCTCATATCAGTTTTATTAACGGCTGCAAAGGTTATCATTGCCAGTTGTTGGAAATCCCCAAATAGGCTATTACTGTTTGGTGTAGCGGTTAAGTGTGCGGACTCTAACCTGGGAGAACCGGGCTTGATTCCCCACTCCTCCACTTGCACCTGGCTGGATGACCTTGGGCAAGCCGTAGCTCTGATAAGAGCTGTTCTTGAAAAAGAGCAGTTTCTCCAAGAGCTCTCTCAGCCCCACCTACCTCACAGGGTGTCTGTTGTGGGGAGGGGAAGGGAAATGAGTTTGTAAGTCACTCTGAGACACCTTTGGGTAGTGAAGGGCGGGGTATAAATCCAATCTCTTCTCTTCTTCTCTTCTCATGGCGTTTGAAAATATGGGATTATTACGCCATGGATAAAATATCCGATGTAACAGTTAATTCAAACCTCTCACGTAAAAACCCTAATCTTCATTTGAAATGGTTCCCTTTTCTTGAACATTATGTTTAATTCTGAGTTCTCTAAATTCAGTGTTCCTAAAAAGTATTATGACGTTTTTCACCACATGTAATCTATTTCGAAGTTTGTATAAACTTATGCAGTTACCTTGTTGAGTTCTATTGTTGTTGACAACCATGAAAGTTTGTGTATTGTTTAAGTTGAAATAAAATAAAAAATTTAAATTAAAAAAATAAAATAAAATCTCTAAGATGATTATGAACTTTCTGCCAGTATTGCTGTGTTATATGGCACCTCCACCAATTGTGGTAGAAGGTGCCCACATTGTTTTTACATTTCCAGCAGTTTTTTCATAAGTTTGCATAGCATTTTGCCACCTTATCCAGTGACTAATGCCACCTGTGAAACATTTTGTACACATTTTCCTTATATGGAATTGATCTTAAAGTGTCTATATCTATAGTATGACCCATATCCTGCATCCACGTGACCATTGAACATTTCACTATTTCATCGCATTCATATTCATCAAGGAGAAAATTATATAACTTCTGTATAAGCTTATCATTTGTAGATAGCCATAGCTTATCTAGGTCTGTTTTTCCTCTACTTAAAAAAAAAAAAGCCAGGCTTCACGTTGTTGAAGGGCTCTGATTTCCTCTTGTGCCATTAGTCCCATTTCTGTCACCGTATCAGCTAGCTGTGTAGTTTGCTCTAAGCCACTTCTTAGTTCATTTATCTGGTCTGTGATGGGTTTTAAGAGGAGAGACATCTCCTCTAAGATCTCGGTCTTCACGGAGAGTAAGGCTTCTATTATATCTTTGTTTTGTAATGGGAGCTGCGTCCTGTGAGGCAGTGGAATCCTCAGTGGCCATTTTAAAATCTGATTTCCTTCCTGCGGCAGGTTTCCCTTGCGTGAAGTATGAGTTGACAAGAGTGGGATCTTACTGTGGAGCTTGTGATTCTCGATCTCCTTTACTTCCCATGACCTTAGCTGTTGTCCTTGAGTCTCCTATTATTCAAATAAATTGTTACAGTCTGGGATGGGGTTGGGAGCTCAGGCTTTAGGCTTCTATCTTCATGACAGTTGAAGCTGTCTCTCTTTACATGCGCGCCGTTTTGTGAATGGTGTAAATTCTTGACCTTGGAGACATTCAAAAAGCGAATTCTCTTTTTTTGCTTTATCCCACATCTTTGCAGCTATTATACTGATGTGACATTAGAGAATCAATCTTTGTGTTTTTTAAAATACAGGCTTATGCCATTTAGAGCATCCCCACTACCAGCACCAAGCCTAGTTGGAGGTCTGTGCTGCTAATCCTCTGTTCTGGATTTTGTGTTGAAATCCTTGAAAGCAAATTTGTTTTCTTGCTGTCTTCCAGCCTCCTGCCCCGACTCCTTCCAAAAGCAGCTGGTCACACAAGAAAACAATGAACTCTATCACTGTGTGATTTACCTGGCACCTGGAGATTACCACTGTTTCCATTCACCCACTGACTGGACAGTGTCTCATCGGCGTCACTTCCCAGGTAGGCTTCGTTTTAGAGGTGGGAGACACAGAGCCAGTATGTCATTGAGAAAGTCTTTCGGGGCACTATGAAAAATAGTGTACTGGAGACACATGCTTTATCACTTGGCTATCCCAGGTGTTGAATTGCTTGGAGAACTCTAATGCTTCTTCGGCAGCATGGATCTGGGAGACAGGTTTATTATTGTGTAATGCAAAGAAGCTTTCTTGAAATGTCTGGGTGACCCCAGAACATCTGAAGTCTCTACCCCTTTTCCTGAGGTCTGCAATACCACATTTAGAAGTGATGCTGTCAGCTTATCACACACCCAGCAACTCATATACACTGGGTCTCAGTTGCTTCTCATGCAACTTTAGTACACCAGACATAGAATCATAGAGTTAGAAGGGGTCATCAGGGTCATCTAGTCCAACCCCCTGCACAATGCAGGAAATTCACAAATGCCTCCCCCCTCCACCCCTGCAGTGACCGCTTTTCCATGCCCAGAAGATGACAAAAACCCTCCAGGATCTCCAGCCAAACTGGCCTGGAGAAAAATTGCTTCCTGACCCCAAAGTGGCGATCAGCATTTTCCTGGGCATGTAAGAAAGGACCACAAGAACTTTGCACTGAGGCAACCCTTCCTCCCCTCCCTTTCATGATTACAGATTACAGCATTTTATTTCCCTGGAAAGGAAAAACAGAGATGTGCTAGATTTTGAAGCAGTATTCAAATTCCAGTGCTTTAGGCACAGGTGTTGCATCTGATTGCTGTGCCAGCTGGCATGGCTTGGGCAGAAGGTGTCTAAACTAGAATTGCCATGAATGTCATGGTGACCATCTTTATTTAGATGCCAAATCAGAATGATTTGCCTGTAGGCTCACTGGGGATTGGGGAAGGATGCCTACTCTATACTTGCATCTTCCTCATTGTCTTCAGCCGTCCCAGAGACCACCAGAGGGACTTTGGGCTGCACCTTTGAAGGTTTGGCACCATGCACATCTTGGGGGGGTGAAGGCCACTCCTGCTGCACCAGGTCTGACTCACCGGAGCTTCTCTTGCCTTTTGCGCTTTGCTCATATTTGGAGGTGGCTTTGAACCCACATGGCTTGGTGCAGGCATAAGCAAGCTCCCTTCTTGCCCTAATTTCAGGGAGATAAGGGTAGGAAATGGGGAAATGGCTGTTAAAGGCAAGCCCTGTAGCACTTGCTAAAAATTGCGTTTAAGACACAGAACAATGAAAGGATGTAACTATACAGATTCCTTTCACATATTCCGAATATGATGGAGGGAAGGCTAAGCCAAAAGACACTGCAAGTGATGCCTTATATGCATCCCTGCCAAAGACTTCTTCCTAAAGGATTTTAAAATGGGAAAAAGTAATGATCATATCCTTCCTCCCCCTCCTTCTTTTGCTACAAACTGCCCCACTATTTGTTGCTCCTGGCAAACTGGTTTGCTTTAGAATGACCATAGAATAAAATAACTGTATCCCTCCCCAAAAAGAACTTGAAGAAGGAGAAATTGGATTTATACCCCGCCCTTCACTCGGAGTCTCAGAGTGGCTTACAAACTCCTTTCCCTTCCCCTCCCCACAACAGACACCCTGTGCGGTAGGTGGGGCTGAGAGAGCTCTTTTGAGGACTGCTCTTGAGAGAACAACTCTGAGACAACTTGTGACTGATCCAAGGTCACACCAGCAGCTGCATGTGGAGGAGTGAAGAATCAAACCTGGTTCTCCCAGATTAGAGTCCACGCACTTAACTGCTACACCAAACTGGCTTGTTGCCGCTGGGGGCTGTAATAAAAGTGGATCTTCTCTTGTTTTTATTTTACTATTATCTGGCTCATGTACTGCAGTGATCCTGACCCATGAGTCTTGAGTTTTGTCTTATGGGTCATTCCTGATCATGTGTCCCCAATACTTACAATAGCTGGATGAGTAAATGAAGGCTTTCACTCTTCTCTCCTGGTTCACTCAGGCTCCCTGATGTCTGTGAATCCCGGGGTTGCTCGCTGGATCAAGGAACTCTTCTGCCATAATGAACGAGTTGTCCTCAGTGGTTGCTGGAAACATGGCTTTTTTTCTTTGACAGCCGTTGGAGCACAAAACGTGGGGTCTATCCGCATCTATTTTGACCAAGTGAGTAGGAATCTTGCTTTTAAGAGGAAGCAATGGCAGAATTATGAGGGAGGTGCAACTGTTACGTCTGTCTCAAAATTCAGAGTAGAAGTAAAGCAGTTGTTTTAACAAAAGGTCCAAGCAGGCAAAGCTACCAAATGCTCTCAGTTTCCAAAGTAGGCTCAAGTCCCCTGAACCTCAGTTTTTTAGTTTTGTTTGAGCCAGAGCCATTCTATGTTGTGTAGAAGAGACCACAGTTTAGCAATACAGTATATGCATGTAGGTCCTGGGTTCATTCCCTGAAACCTCCAAGTAAACAGACCTTTGATAATAGGGCTGGGAGGGACCTTTGCCTAAGACTCTGGAAGGGAACAGCAGTGGGGTAGCAGAGGAACAGCATTTTTATAATAATGTGGAACCTTAGCACACCCAGATGTGGAAGTCTTAGTATGGGTACAAACGGTGATGTATCCAGTTATCTTTCCTGTAGAAACTCTTGCTTGTTGCTGTCATTTGAGATTAATTCAAGTATCTACTTTTCCTTCCTTGGGTAAAGCTAAGAAAACAACTGAATACTATTTTAGTATTAGAGCGGTTGCGTAGATACTTCTTGGCCATACATTAGGCTTGCAAGTAGCCACTTACCTTGTTGCCTGTGGTCACTATTGCCTCCAGGCAGGCAAGTGCTGCAAAAGCGGTTTCTTTTTCTTTAGCCCACAAAAGACTAAGCTGGCAGATTGACTTGGGTGGGGGGTGGGGGGATAACCACAAAAATGGGTAACTGCCTTATGCTTTCAGGAAGGGCATAATGGCAAGTTTTCTTCCTTCCTGAATAACAAAGATGCTAAGTAACATCACTTTCTGTCTGTGCAGGACCTGCGTACAAACAGCCCCCGATACAGCAAAGGCTCCTATAATGACTTCAGCTTTGTAACCAACAACAACAAAGAGGGCATCCCCATGAGAAAGGGAGAACATTTAGGAGAGTTTAACCTGGGATCAACCATCGTCTTGATTTTCGAGGCACCGAAGGATTTTATTTTCTACCTGAAACCTGGCCAGAAAATCCGCTTTGGAGAGGCCCTGGGATCTCTTTAGAGCCTCCACTGCCAGGAGGGGTTTTATATGCAATAGGGACTCAATTTGAAAAAGGAAAAGTTTCTCTAAGGTGGGAGTATTGCTCAGCAGGACCTGAGTGAGGACACTTGTTCTTAAACTGGGGTTGCGCAAGTGCATACCCACTATGAGAGCTGCATACATATCAGGGATCGTGGCCTTTAAGAATGTTGACCAGGGTGGCTTTTCTTCTTCCCTGTGCCTGCAGTAACAATAGTTTCTCCCTTTATACTCCTTTATGCAGCCCGCTTTTGCACAGAACCTCGAGGGCTGTGTTGAGCCAATATAAATTCTGCAGTCAGAGGGAGGAGAGGAAGCTGAGAGATTCCTCCTTTAAAGGGACACTAGCAGATTGACTTATGCGCCATATTGTTTTAATTGGTAAACTTGTTTTCCAGATTCTCTTCATACAAGCCTGTTTCATTGTCAATTTAAAAAATGTCCAATGCCAGCAGAACAAGGGGATTATCAAACATTGAAGTACCATTAGACTTATCTTTTTAAAAAGTTAAATCTGTTACTCTCCCTTTAAAGCAGAAGTTTGCACTGTATTTTAAACCTCAAACACTGTGTCCACATTCCTTATTTGACTTGATTGTGTTTGTTTTACTTATAAGTGTAGCTCACCCCAACCCTAATATTTCAGCTTACTCTTCTGGGCCTTAAAAGTTTCTGTTCTGTATGGGAGATACCCACACTCCTTTAAGCTTGAAACATTAAAACTACCCAGTTGATGTCATTTCTCTGTGCACAGCTAGTGGGAATTCTTTTGCTGTTGAAAGCAAGCACAGTCAGTAGCCATGATTGGGGGAAGGGAAGAGGCAGTGAGAGAGTCTGCAAATATGCAGAATTCAAGTAGCAATAGGATAGACTTTAAAAAAATCATTTGGAATCTTCTGAGTAATCCAGTTTTTCTCACATGCATTTGACTTTTCCCACTCTTTGCTGAACTTGCTAATATTTATGTAGCTTTCTTCAGAAATTCAAATTTCCCCATGCAAGATCAGATGTCAAGAATGCTGTTCTGAAGCTTCATCATGCAAGTGTCTCAAAACTAATGCTCAGAATGGGTTCCACTCTTTAACATCATGCCTGTTTCTGGAAAGAGTATTGCTTTATTTTTAAAAGAATTGTTTTGAATTCAAAAAACAAGCATACAAAGATAAACATCAGGAGTGCTGAGTTTATTTAGCTTTAAATTGTATCTTCCCTTTAAAAACACCTCTTGTGTATGCTTATCTTAAGCCTTATGTGTATACTTGCCAGCGCGCACACACCCACACACATGCGTGTGACAAGAATGCAAGAGTCTTCTCCTTTTAATATAGAAGGAGTATCTGGAAGAGAAAGCTAAGCCCCACTCCCACAATACAGAGATGAAGGTGCCTGCTGTAGAAAAAGAGCAGATCTTTATATGTCTGTGTGTGTGTCCTTGCTTGAGGCATGAATGCTTCTACTGACCCCCGTCTTTCTGGTGGTGGGACTGACGTAGGGCAGAGACTTCTTCATGATGCCTAGCTTGCCTCTCTTTCTTATGCAGCAAGTCACCCTCTTTTAACCCTAGAATGTCATCATAGTTGACATCTCTTGTATTGGTACATCACTCAAGAGGCAAATCTAATTGAACAGGGACAGTTATAAAGCAGCTGAAAATAGACGACAGGCACCGGGGGTGGTGTGGGGGGTGGTGGCCTTGTTCCAGCCATTGGAGGAACAAATTGCTCCCACTGTGGCTGCACAGCCATCATGGCTTCGAATGTCTTATTCCTCAGCCTATCTAGCCGTATTGTTCTGAACTCAAGGATGTTCTGCCTGGTCTGTTCAACAGGATTCTACTGGATGAATGTTCTGTGCTGAGCTAGGCTGCGTGGCAGCCAGGGCTGAAAAGGTCACACTGATCCTAAATAAGTGGGAGTGGGTTTCTTGGTGATGCTGTGAATTTCTCCTACATGGAGAATCCATTTAATTTTTCAACTGTATCAGTAGCACAGTATTTTTGTATGTCAAAATGTACAACTTATGGACATTAACTCATTAATTGCAAACATTTTTAAATAAAACAAGTGACTTGCCCTGCTTGATTTTTTAAAAAGACAAAACGCCTGACCTTTTTACAGAGGCATCACTCCTTGCCAGAGTTCATGGAGCTAGCGGGTTCTCTAACCCTATCAAGGTCAACTGTCCCATTGCACAAGCAGTCATTTAGCTGTTAAGAGCAGCTTGAATGTCCTGGATGCGTGTGCTGTAGTTCTGCATCTCTTCTCGCTCTTCTCCAAGTTGGCTTGTGAGGGATTGGATCTGCACTTTCAGCTGCAGAGAAACCAGAATGCAGAAACCATTAGCAGTTGTGTGACAGAGAGAGGTGGGAATCTGTGCAATTGCCTATGTGCAATAACTTTTAACCTTTTGCAGGGAACACTAAAGCAGGAGTTAGCACCACATACCCAAGCAGCTTTGGAACCATTATCAAGGTAACAAGGCCTTCCTACAAGCAGCAACAAAGAATGGTAACACGCTGGGAATTCTTGTTGCCACCTGCTCACAAGTAAATAGTTTGGATTTGCCCCATCTTGTTCTTTCTTACTACGTGTACTTATGAAAAACAAATACCAAATTGAACCAGATGCAAAAGGGGAGTTTGGCTACAGAAGCATTTCCTTTTCAAAAATTAATAAATGTACAGGGGCCCGCCACTTGCATTTTCTTGACATGGGGTAAAACATCGGTTCTGCTGCCACCCAAATCATAATCTTGAACACCGTACTTCAGTGCAGTAATTTGGACTGACAGAACAAACAAGCAAGGTCAGGAGACTGAATGTTATTAGATTTAAAGCAAAGCACCAAATGTGCCAACCAAAGCAGAATGAAGCAGCTATGAAGCAGGGTGTTTCATAGCAAAGGGAAGGGCAAGGGGATTACACAGAACGTTGACACCCCTGAACCCTGACCACAGAATGTCCTACTCAAGGCCCCCCTTACTTCTCAGATTTCATTAAAAACACATTTATCATTATTAGTCCCAAAGGCTACAAACTTCATTTTTAAAAAAAAATCAAAGCTGTTGAACCACAGAAGCAGAAAAAATACTCGGGGTATTTGTCACATAATTGGGTATGTGCCTGTTTTGAGATGCAAGTCTCACATTTGCTTAGCTTCCCTCCCAGGATCCAACATTTTCTTTTCAATTAGGGCAGCCAAGTTAGTCTTTAGGATGCCACTAAACTCCTGTGGCCTTTTTTCAGCAACAGATTTAAATATCCTAGCATCCACTTTTGCGGAGTAGATGCAGTGAATGGCTTCTCACTAGGCATGCCTTTAAATATATGAAGTTAATTTTATTTCACCCTGTACTGCTTTAAGTTCATGGTCCTTTAAACCTGCATTTATTTATTTAATCACTTCCTGTATGTCTGCATAATGAGGATCCACTGCATTCCACCTGAAGGAAGTGAGCTCTAGTCACAAAAAAACTGCTGGAGCAGAACTCTGTCAGTCTTTAAAGATTCCATATTTGTTTTCTGTTCATTTTCTTGTCTCCTTTCACTGTCAGCCATCGTACTAAGGAGCAAATCTAGCACACTTTCACGCAGTAATACTGAGAAGGACTTGCATTTGTACCTGATCCAATTCTCCTTTTACTTGCTGCACAGATGCTTGCTCCTCAGTCCCCATACTCATTTTCAGCCACTTGAGCAAAATGCGTTGCCTTCTATGGCATAATCTGAAAGAAAAGAAACAACTCCCAATGTTCCCTGTTTGGACTGGTGATGACAAACAAGAAGGGTAATTTTATCACTTCCCAATCATGCAGGCCTACGCAACTTTGCAGTACTAGAGTTTGTATAAGGTGCTCAGTACTTTACAGATGTTTTCTTCTTCATAGAATCATGATGCAGGCCACTAATATTTCCATTTAACAGATGGGAACTGAAGTTGGGAGATTACTGAGTTGGCCAAGGCCATCCTCAGCAAATTTGGTTTATAACCCCCCCAACAATCTGTTTTCTGCTTCATCAAATGGTGCATCAGCATCTGAAAACAATGAAGCAATTCCATCTCTACTTCTTCCTCTCAGTGCTACTAATTACATTCTATATATTTCTTTGATAAATGGAGTGGACTGACAGAACAATGTAATCCTCCAGCCCAGTGCCTTTCTGTTTGTTTTTTAAATGCTGGTACTCATATATTTATTTTTATTTATTATTTCAATTTATATCCTGCCCTTCCCGCAAGTGTTGTTGCACTGCTTGCACTACGGTCGCACTGTTTCCACCAATTCCCCCCCCCCAGGACTTGGGAGAGCCCCCACAAAAAGTGCCAGAAGTCAGTACCTGCTTCAGCCCATTACTGATTGCAACATTCTGTAATCCAGGTTTGATGGGAAAATTGGACATTACGCCCTTACATTCTAAGCAGTGCTTATTCTTTCAGGTTGTCTGACCAAACTGCAGCAAACAAGGAGAAATAAATAGCAGTAGACTCTCCTCCTTTGATTAGCAGCTGAGTACATCTAAGCACAATAAGGACGGAATCAACAACTCCTTGCAGCCCTAGGCAACAGCCACAGAGCTTACTGGGAGAGGATGACCTATCACAGCAGCTCTCAGTGGAGCTGTAGGAGAGGAACACATGGGAGTTACTGACATGCAGCTCCTCACTGAGAGCAGCTGTGACAGTTCTGACCATTCACACCAGTGCTGGTGGTTGCTGCGTGTCCATTGGGCCTGGAACCTGACTACAAGTTATAACTGGTGTTTGATGGGCAAGATGCCATTGCTGAAGGAGGACCACATCAGTGTAGCAGCCCAAAGAGAATCCCAATAAAATGGCTACTAACAGTTATGTCTAAGGCAGAGCCCCAAGTACAAATGAGGAAAGGGTACGTCACTACACACTTCAGTTCCTGCAACTGCTGATTTCTGTAATAGCATTGCATTTTCTGCCCAATCTGTCGGAGCTCAGCCTCCAGCTGCTTATGAACTTCTGCCTCTCGTGTGGAACTGTCCATCTGATTTTCCTGTTGGCCTGCAACCAAAACCAAGACACAGGATTACATAATTCCTGCTAACCTGCTGCTTAGCTTCCAGATTCTGTACTGAATTCCATGCTGGGATGCAAGATATTTCCCCCCTTCTACTAAACATCCTTTCCACCAAGTGACTGCCTCCTCTCCTGAAGCACAGATTATCACTGCATTGTTCAAAAGCCCCAATGCTCGCTGACAAGAGAAAGTGTTTTGCTCCTTCCGCCAACACACATATGAGCAGCACTATTACCTGTCCTTCCATAAAGGGAGGAAGGGCTCTTGCTTCTGACAAAGTCTGCTGGCAAGAGCAGGTCTTCTCTTTGGCCTGTTGCCACTCTCTCTTTCCAGGGGCCTGCTACTGGAGGGCTTGTAGCATAGCACTTAGGGTGAAAGCTCAAAGACTTCTCCTCACCCTGGAAAGGAGAGAAAACAAAAACATTCAAATACGCAGCCAAACAAAGTTTTGCTTTGTGGTTTCTGTTTTAAACATGTTATAAGGCTTGCAAAGCCATTCGATGGAATTTTATGTATGTTAATATCCAATAAGCTTTTAAGACAAACTACATTTTATGCTGGAAATCCACAAGGGGATCACTTTTTTTTTTTTTAAATAAAAAGAAAATTCCATGGTGCTGGTGGGATGCATTGGAACCATGGCACTGGGTACAGAGAATTCAACCATTCTCCCACATGTCATTTCCCCAAAACTTCCTCTCTTGCTGT